CCTCGCCTCACCGGGCCGGGCCGGGGCCCCGCTCGGGCGCCCGTGATCGCCAAGTGACAGGAGTGCCTTGCTCCGCTGCCGCGCGGAGCTGCTTCCCGGGGGCGGATTTCTCTCTTCTTCCTCCCTGGATCCACCTCCTGCCACTCCACCTCCCTCCCCTCCCCTCCCTAGGGGAGGCTCTGGTGCTGAATATTTTCTGTCTAGAATGATACGGTCCCCAGGAACCGACCCTGGAGTAGGGGATTAGCCCGGGGGTGGGGGAAAGTGTGTTTGCTCGCCAACCCCCTCCCAGTGTGTCTCTGAACCTGCAAGCCCCTACTCCACCCACCCACCCACTCACCCACTCACCCACTCACCCACTCCGCCAAAACCAGGCACACACAAAACCTTCCCCGCCTTCTCCTATCTCCCCAGCGGTGAGCGGGAGCGGCAAGGAACCGGGGTTACTGCTAGATGAGGGAAGAGTGACTTGGTGCACGGTTGTCAGGGGCGGAGCGTAAACCCTTAAACCCGTTGCCGTCTAGTTGAATCCTACTCAAAGCGACTCTAGGGCAGAGTAAAACTGCCCCGTTGGGTTTTCAAGACCGTAATCTTCACGGATGCAGACTGCACATCGTTCTCCTGCGGAGCGGCTGGTGGGTTTCAACTGCCTGCCTTTTCGTTAGCAGCCTAGCGCTTATCCACGGCCCGACGAGGGCTCCTCGGGGGCGGAGAGGGGGGAAAATTTATACAGTTAGATATGCAGACTCGAGGAATCAAAGGTCCCAGACTGAGGAGGCAATGCCTTGGTGAATTTTTGCCTCTTATTTGCAGCGGCTGACGCAATGTAGAACTTCAAGATAAGGAAGTATCCTTTCACTCCCCACAGCAAAATATCTTCCAGTGTTTGGGACGGGGATAGTCGAGAAGCGTTGTTCATTCAAATCTTTTCTCTTTTAAATCTCCTGAGCAGCTGAACGAATTCGGCGCGGCTAGCGGAATTGAGGAGAGGTGGCTGCACTTCTCCTTTACACTACATGTCACGGTGGCCCCAAGCCCAAAGCACAACCCCTGCCCCTCCCCACCCAACTCCAGGGCCTTGTCAAACCCCCGGCGGCTTGCTCCGCCCCCACCGCGGCTCACAACATCTCCCGCTGCAAATTGCCCAATCGGGAGACGCGCGAGAGAACAAGAGCCAATCGACGGCTGCTGACTCAGGCTGCTCTCCACCCCTTACCCCTCCTCCATCAGGAAAAGCCACCCGCCCCTTGCTCTCCCCTTCCCATCCAGCCTCCTTTCTCGGGAGGTGGCTCTCGTCCTCTGATCCTGCGGGTGCTAAAATGGAGTAGCTCGCCGGTGGCGCTTGTCACCTTGTCACTCTCATACTCGCTCCCCCTCCCATACACACCCCTCCTCCCTTTTTCAGTCCCCCTGCTGGTGCTGTTGAGGGTCATTTTTATCTTCACTCCGGCGGGGGTCTGCTAGCTATTGTGTCTGATCAGCTGCCACACCATCCTGAGGGGAAAAAAAAAACCAAGAAGCTGAGGGTCTGCTTACCTTTTCATTCGTTCTTTCTACACTATCCCCTGAAGACTTAGAGACCCCCCTTCTCTTCGCCGGTTGCCTGGGGTCCTGTTTCTTGATGAGGGAGGGGAGAGGGACTCTTTGTAGCCTGAGCACCTGTGCCTTAGTTTTAGCTCTTCCTTAGAGGGGAAAATGCTAAACACCTACATAAAGTAGACAACTAAATCCTGAGGCTCAATTAGAAGAAAGTCTCACTAGATGATTTTTATATGGTCATGAAATTTGCATGTTTGTGACAGCCCCTGACCAAATTAGTCAGTCAATAACAAAGAAAAATAAAAATAATAAAATAGAGGGAATGCCTGCCAGTTGATAATTTACTGAATAACCACTAAGTTATAGCAGTATCCAGTTCTAGATACTGTTGAGTAAATGAACAAGAAGTGAATAGAATGCAGGGTTCAAGTAGTATACTTCTAGTGGGTTTATTATAGAATATACCTAGAAAAGAAAAACAATTTTAAGCCCAAAGCTAAACTCCTCGCAAATGCAAATGAATGACATAAATTGAGTACCTAACAGCTGAGAACATCTAAGGTTAAATTTTTAGAATAAAAATTTTTATAAATCATGATTTTGAAAATTTTTCAGTTTCGTAAAGTAGAGTAAATATTGCGTATGGAAGAAGACTTGAATGAAAAGGAGGTTTTTGGTTTTTTTTTTAATTAAAAAAAAGGAGGTAAAACACTGTTAATGGATTTAAGTGAGCCTCCCAAAAATATGTTGTGAATCCTAACCCCTATACCTGTGGATATAATCCCATTAGGGAATAGGTTTTTTCTTTGTTATGTTAATGAAGCCATATCAGTGTAGGGTTGTCTTAAGCCAATCACTTTTGAGATATAAAAAGAACAAATTATACACAGAAGCAAGCAAGCACAGATGGGTGAAGATAGATGTCATGCAACATGAAAATCACCAAGGAACTGAGGAACAAGAATTGAAGAGAGACAAGGATCTTCCCCTAGAGCTGACATAGAAAGAAAGCAGCCTTCCCCTAGAGCCAGTGCCCTGAATTCAGACTTCCAGCCTCCTAAACTGTGAAAAAATAAATTTCTGTTCCTTAAATCCACCTGTTCTTGGTATTTCTGTTAGAGCAGCACTAAGAAGTAAGACAAACACATTTTAGAAATTATGGGGAAAAAACAACCTAAAGAGGCAACATTTCTATAAGAAGTAGTAAGATGTAAGGATTAAGACTGCAGTCCTGCTCCATCATTGACCATGAAACTGTGGGAAATTATTACATATATATAAGTACAACAGCTATCAAATAATAATAGTGACTACCATCTATGTAGCACTTCCTATGTGCTAGGCATTCCTCTATGAGCTTTATACCCAACTTAATGAGATAGATATGTGGTAGAGCCAGGATTCAAGCCCCAGGTGGTCTGACCTCAGAGCCCATGCTTTTATCCACACTGCCATACTACCTCTAACATGGTTTTTAATAATAATGACAACAACTAACATTTATCACATGCTTACTCTGTGCTAATCATTGTGCTTTGTGTGTAATAACTGTTATCGGTTGAATTTTGTGTACCCTCAAAAAGATATGTTGAAGTCCTAACCCTTGGTACCTGTGAATGTGACCTTATTTGGAAATAGGGTCTTTGAAAACGTAATTAGTTAACATGAGATCATACTGGAGTACGGTGGGCCCTAATCCAGTATGACTAGTGTTCTTATGAAAAGAGAAGAAACACAAACAGACACACAGGGAAGTCAGCCATGTGAAGACCGAGACAGAGATTAGATTTATGTTGCCACAAGCCATGCAAGACCTGGGCCATTAGAAGCTGGGAGAGATAAGAAAGGATCTTCCCCCAACATTATTTAATGAAATGGAAAAATTAATCTCCAATTTTATATGGAAAGGAAGGAGGCCCCAAACAGCTAAAGCAATATTGAAGAAGAGCATAGCAGGAGGGCCTCACACTTCCTGATTTCAAAACTTACTATGCAGCCACGGTAGTCAAAATAGCATGGTGGTTCAATGACAGACAAATCGACCAATGGAACAGAATTGAGAACCCAGAAGTAAATCCATCCATCTACGAGCAGCTGATCTTCAACAAAGAGTCAAAATCCGTTCAATAGGGAAGAAAGTCTCTCTAACAAATGGTGCTGGCAAAACTGGATATCCACATGCAGAAAAATGGATCAGGATCTATACCTCACACCATGAACAAAAACTAACTCAAAATGGATCGAAGACCTAAATATTAAAACTAAAACTATAAAGTTCCTGGAAGATAACATAGGGTCAAAACTAGGGGACTTAATTTTCGGCATAAATAGTCTATCAAACAAAACTAAAAATGCACAAATGACAGAAGATAGATTAGATAACTATGACTTCTTAAAAATTAAATGCTTATGCTCATCAAAAGACTTTACCAAGAGAATTTACTGACTGGGAAAAAATCTTTGGCAACAACATATCTAATCTCTAAAATATGTAGAAAACTTCAACAACAAAAAGACAAACAATCCAATAAAAAAATGAGTGAAGGACATGAACAGACACTTTACCAAAGAGGACATTCAGGCAGACAACAAAAACATGAAAAGATGTTTGTGATCACTAGCTATTAGAGAGATGCAAATCAAAACTACAATGAGATACCATCTCACCCCTGCAAAAATGGCAATAATCAATAAAACAGAAACAACAAATGCTGGCAAGGTTGTGAGGGGATTGGAACCCTTATACATTTCTGGTGGGACTGTAAAATGGCACAATCACTATGGAAAACAGTATAGCACTTCCTCAAAAAGCTAGAAATAGAAATACCTTATGATCCAGCAACCCTACTCCTAGGTATATATCCTAGAGATATAAGAGCAGCTACATGAATAGACATTTACACACCTATTTCATTGCAACATTATTCACAACAGCAAAAAGATGGAAAGAGCCTAAGGGCTCATCAACAGATGAATGGACAAACAAATTGTGGTATATACATACAATGGAATACTACACAACTGTAAAGAATAATGAGGAGTCCATGAAACATCTTACAATATGCATGAGTTTGCAGGATATTATGCTGGGTGAAGTAAGTCAATCACAGAAAGACAAATATTATAAAAAGTCAAGAAGAGATATACACACAGAAAACAAAGTTCTTTGATGGTTACCAGGTGTCTTAGTCATCTAGTGCTGCTATAACAGAAATACCACAAGTGGATGATTTTAACGAAGAGAAGTTTATTTCCTCACAGTTAAAGTAGGCTAAAAGTCCAAATTCAGGGCATCACCTCCAGGGGAAGTCTTTTTCTCTCTGTCGGC